ACTGGAACACATGGAACGAACRCGACCGTGYGTGGCTCGTGGCCATTTTAAATTTTAAACCTGAAGAAAATCTCACGATGGGACGCTTGTTTCTTGGCGCACCGTCTCCTTCAGGAGATYCGAGGAAATCGTCCATCCGATGGGCACAGGAGGAGGTTCGTGGCGGACACAGACGGGCTCTAATTCCGGTAGTTCGGTATCCTCGTCCGCAACGGAAGTAATCTCATTCGTGATTCGCTGTAAAAACAAATACCTCGAGAATAGTCACGTGCAATTCAATCACGGTAGGTTTGAATTAGGCAACCGATCGAACCAGATTCGGAAATTTTCATGTGTTTCACACCGTGTGGCCGCCATAATTTCTTACACGCCACATTTAACCGCACGACTTAGCTCTGACTATGGGCGCAGTTCGCCAGGGCATCCAGGAAGGGAAAAAACAAAAAGCTCATCACTGCATCTCCCTCCGTAGCCTTTTGTACCGCACGTACCGTACGATGCSCTAAAATTCTAGATCATCCAAMCCRGATCGAATCTCCGGGCGAGTTTTTGGACGGTACCGAAAAAACGAGTGCTCTCGCTCGTGCTTCCGGTATGAAGAGGGAAGTAGTGAGTTGGAACACCCTCACAGAACCCGTGCTTGTAATCGTAATCGTACTCGTTCCGTGCGTCCGTGTGGTTGGATGGTCTTGGCATCAATCAAACGAACCAACCACCAACACCAGAGAAAACCGGATTGGGCGCACCTTTGGCTCCCGGGGCAATCCACACACGCACACATCCACCAAAAACAGAAACAAGGACATGGCATGCGCAAGCACTTCACCGCATCACTCTTTGTAGACATCGAATGAACCAAAACGCGCACAACCCCATTCCTACAGCTGCAAYCCCGGGAGATTGGTTGGGCCTCTGAAGACACAGAAGATGGCTTCGGGCTGGAGGAGGTGCCACCGGAGGCGGGCGGTAGTCTTTGTGCTGGCAGTCTGCCTGCTGGAAGGCTTGTTTGCGCACTCCTCCATCGATTGGGACCGGTCCACCCCCGGTGGCGCCGGCGAAGGCAGGGGCAACCGGAGGGGCTTCTCGCTCCGCAGGAGGCGCACGACGGAGGCCGCTGCACAGCCCTCGAAGCGCATCGTCCACGGCGTCGACGTCTCCGGGCCCCGCATGGTGGGTGGATCCGACGCCACCAACGCGTACCCCTTCTTTCTCCTCTGGGGCGGCTGCGGCGCGACGCTGATCCACAACGACATCGCCCTGAGCGCGGGGCACTGCTCGAGAAAGGATCGGGCCCAGGTCGGCCCGACGCATCGGACCGATACGTCCAATGCCTGGACGGGGGTGTCCCAGATCCGGACCCACCCCCTGTACGATCCGCAGAGCCTCGACTACGACTTTGCGGTCCTCAAGCTCGGGGGGTGGTTCCAGAACGAGAGGGTCAGGCTCAACACCAACGGCGACGCCCCCTACGAGGGCGAGTCCCTCACGGTGCTGGGCTTTGGTGGCCAGTCCTCGACGCTCAAGGAGGGAAGGGTGGCATCCATCGGCTCCGAGCTGTGCCGGGACCAGTGGCGGCTGGCAGGCTATTCCATCGACGCATCCGCGTCCGTCTGCACGGTCTCCGACCAGGGGGTGAGCCCCTGCTCCGGGGACTCCGGGGGGCCCCTGCTGACGGCCTCCAACACCCAGGTGGGGGTCATCTCGTCGGGGTCCGACTGCGACGGCCGGCTGCCGGCGGTCTATTCCCGCGTCAGCGTGGCGAGCGACTGGATCGCGCAGCAGATCTGCGAGCTCTCCGACTTTCCCCCACAGGAGTGCCGAGGGCCCTTTGGCAACGAGCGGTATGTCGGGGCAGAAATCCTGCGGATCGACATCCACCTCGACGAGTACCCCCGGGACATACGGTGGAGGATCACGACGGGCGAGGGCGCAAGGGAGGTCGCCAGCAGCGGGGAGTTTGYGATACCCAACAGCACCGAGAGCCGCTTCGTATACCTGCCGATCGATGYCTACTACGAATTCACGATAGAGGACGTCGGTGGCTTTGGGGACGGCCTGGGCTCCAGGGGGAACTACAAGGTGGTAACCGTGGACAGCAGGGGGAACGACAGGGACACGCTGGTTTCGGGGGGAGGCAACTTTCAGAAATCCAAAACCACGGCGTTTCTGGTCGGCAACGCACCGGCGACGGAGCCCCCGGTGCCGTCGCCGTCGCCATCGCCCACCGCGTCTCCGACGCCGCAGCCAACGAAGCTCCCCACCGATGGTCCAACGGGGGCACCCACGACGGACCCACAAACGGACCCACCGACGCCGGTACCCACCGGGACCCCGACCCCGGCGCCCACCGGGACCCCGACCCCGGCGCCCACCGCGGAGCCGGTGGCAACACCGACGGGGTCGCCCACCGCGATACCGACGGGATCGCCCTCGGCAGCAACCGAGCCGCCGAGCACCCTTGATCCAACGGGCGTGCCCACCGGGGCGCCCTCCGTAGCTACCCCGGGTCCGACCCTTTCTCCCACGGAGGCGCCCACGYTGTTGGCCACGGAAAATCCAACGGGAATGCCTACCATCCCTCCAGCGACGCCCGAGCCGACACCCGAGCCCACTCCGGAACCCACGGGGGATCCGACCCTCCAGCCAACGGTCTTGGCAACACCGGATTCCACKCCCGAGCCGACCCCGGAACCCACGGAGAACGCGACGCCCGGGCCGACAGGAGGGCTCGTGGGCGAAGACGACAACGAYGACGCKGTGGCGACGGCGGTGCCCGACGGCGACGCGTTCGTCCTGCGGAAACGGTCCCTGCGGTTCCCCCGGGGTGCCGCACCGGTGGTCGCGTACATGGGATTCGTAAACGTTACGATCCTGGAAAAGCCGGAAGAGGTGAGCTGGAGGATCGTGGATTCCGTTTCGAAGGAACAATTCTATGGATACCCCGCCGGAAACTACAAGGAGGCGACGGCTTCCTCGCTCAACCTGATCCACATGCACACGGGGTTGTGGGAACTCTTGCTGCACCGCGAATCGGTAGACACAGCGGTTACGGCAGAAATCGGTACCATCCATACAATCACGGGGGCTGTGGAGCCGCTCGGAAAGCTGGGCTTTGCCCCCGGCAGCACGAATCTTTCCGCGAGTGCCACATTTTCGTTAGACTAGTTGAATGATGACAAACAAATCATAACAATGCAGTAATGCAATTGTAATATTAGCAAAGACGTCACAGCATGAATTGCCATTACCGATCTTTCAAGACGATATTGTTTTGCAATGGTCGTGCAACAAATCCAAAACAAGCACGACTTGCTCAGATCTTTGCTAGTGACTATAGTGCATGGTACATCAACTCCCATTCACAGTTCGTTACGAATCGYTGATTACCCCAAAAAAGTCCTTATTAGTAGTACTCCTGTTAGTGTATCACGCCTAATAAATATGCGGTCCTCATCTTTCATAAAAGTATCCATGTCAAAACAATCTCAGAGGAGGAAGTCACATAACTTTTTTCAAGTCGCTCACCTCATAAGGAATCTACCCGACTTTCTTACAACTACCCTGAATAGATAAACTTTTGAAGATAAAATTGAAGATAAACAATCAGCATGGGGAACTCCGGACCAACGTTGGTAAACACTTTCGTGAATGAAAATTTCGTCTTGAACCAATTAGGTTTTGTTTTTTGTTTCTCGACACGGACAGACGCTATTTTTTCAAAAACTATTTACGGACGTCGAAACCCGGAAATTCTTCCTCAACCAATTGACGCTCGGGAGGAAAAACGTCAAAAACGATGGCAAAGTTGTCACCTATCAATCAAAATGCGTAGTGCAAGAGTGCTTCTCTACCGGTATGGTACAAAGGAAAAAAATGGTTCATTTTCGAATWTCGAGGCTCATCTAAAATCGAGAACTTTATGGAATCGCACATTTCATTATGAAGCTAACGAGAGACTTATCAGAATACAGAAATTTGGTGACGCTAGCGGCTGTCGCGGTCTCTACACTGGCTACCGCAGCCATATGTTGCAACATCAAGGAGCGGCAGAAACGTCGATCCGATTCCCAATGGGAAAAGAAGCGGCTAGAGGAACGAACCGGCCGCATTCGTGCCGAAGTTAAACTGAGAGAAGCGCTATCAAAACTTAAGAAAGCAAACATAGAGTCGGGCGACGAACACRTCTTTCCTCTCTCCACAGTTGGTATAGTCCATGCACCTTATCCGAAACGCATGGGAACGCCACGACAAGGTGCTCTAGTCCCTAGTTCACGCGGTTGCATTCAATTTGTGAAGTCCATCTCTCCAGAAGTATTGGATGGCATCCAACAGTACAGTCATCTATGGGTAATATTCCAATTTCACGAAAACACATCGCTGGCTACCTCCACAAAAACCAAGATCAGACCGCCCCGTGGTGGAGGGATTAAGGTTGGACAAATGGCAACGAGATCACCACACAGACCGAATCCCTTGGGATTGTCACTTGTTACAATAGATCGGTGGGAGCCTTCGACGCGAAGGTTGTTCATTAAAGCCCTCGATCTGGTGGACGGAACGCCTGGTATGTTCGAAAGACATGCATGTTTTGTCCATTTCTCGATACATTGTGCTCGTCAATCGCTCACTTAGTTATTTTCTCTCTCGTCTATTCAAGTCTACGACGTGAAACCTTACGTACACTGGGACATCCCTAACGAAGTTAAAGTCGTCGAGACTCCACTGAACGGAATTGGACTAAAACTTCCACACTGGGTAGAAAACAAAAACGATGTCTTAGCAAGCGTCGTTTTCGAAACGGAAGCGGAAGACTCCCTGAGATACTTTGTACGACAAAACAAGCTGAGCCCATTACTGTATCCAAGCAAGGACTCGATGTCCTTTGTCGCAGCAAAGCAGACACTTATAGAAATTTTGTCTCAGGATCCGAGATCTTCACACCGGGGTCTTTCGAAAAATCAACGGGGAAGCATTTCTTCCATCTCCACAAGCTCCGTGAAGGGGAGCAAATACGATGATAACGACGATGAGAGWGATATATATCGACTATCGTTTGGAAAGTTGCTAATAGAATTTTTGGTGACGGACAAAGGAGCCATTGTGAGGAGAATCCTCGAAGACATTCCGAGAGAGGCAAATGTCATTACGGATTGATGCAAAAAAGATGGGAGCAGGAAAACATCCAGATGACTGAGGCCAAAGAAGTCTACGTTTCGGCCTGATATTCTGATGCAATAACRATGCGGTCATTCTTCGAAATGACCAGGTCGACATTTGTAGCTTAATAGCATGACATTCATTTGAAGATATTGTTGCATGCCTGTGCCTTCCTGGATAAACGACAATTCAATAGTTCAACTGGAGATACAGTAGTAGTGAATAAAATTCATTCTAATGGGTCGTGCAATTTGWATTCATAGACTTTTCTCTTCCTGAGATAGATACATCAACTGACCAGCCACATATTTTTGGATATACCCGACTTGATGACGGGAAGCATCAGTACTGAACTACTTTTTAGCGAGCAATTAAAGTGAATTTTCTCCGACTGAAAATGTCTCGATGTGGGGGTAATCATACATTTGGCCCTTTCCAAGTCCCCCGCCAACGTAATGCCATCGTCGCTTAAGCCATGAATAGATTTCAAAACGAACTGCGTAAACATAAGTGATACGAAAAATAACATCCAAACCAAAAAATAATGACAATGTTATCTCATTTCGACTTACCTCTGCTGCGATTGGAGTGGTTCATGTCCATATAGAAAGTAAAGTCGCTGTCTGCTTTGACATATACAAGCTCATGATATACGCTTGATACCTGGTAAGAACCAAATGGTTTGCGTCTTGCTATAGTATTTCCCTGTATGACTTCCCATCCAACTTCGAACGGATTTTCGACACGGGGGATAAAAATATAAACCCCTAATGGAACCCATTGTGTTGTCAACGAAGAGTCACCATTTAACTGCCCGCCGTCAATGTTTGAATTTCTATTTCCGGGATCTAATGTACGAGGAATTGCCGTGGGAAATGGTGTAGGTTCTATTGTTTGATCCCAAGTAGGCTGTTCTGTGACCGGAACGAAGGGGGTAGATATCGGTGGTGGTCTCAGATCTATCGTATGTTCTGATTCAATGGGCATATTTGATGGGCTTGCGATTGGTAGCAAAGTAATCCTTTCCGGGGCAGAGCCAAAAGTTGGTTTTGTTGTTGGACTTCTTGGGCTTATCGACAGCGTAGTTGTAACTTCTTTAATGTTGCTTGTCGTTGAAACCGGCATGAAAAAATTACCTGAAGTATGAGGTGCATATGTGTATGCTGGATGTATTGTGGGGGAAAATGTTGGTGTTCCCGGTAATGAAATCGATGGAACAAGACTTTTCTCAAGACTGCTACCCAAAGKAGATGGCGAAGGAGATTGGAAAGTAAATGGTTCCGACGACAATGATTCATGTTGCTTTGTTGCCTTGCCACTCGGAGTACTATCTTGGCCAGCCATCGAATCTGTTGATACAGATACATCTCCATCTAAACCGAAAAATGTGCTGTTTCCAAATTCCTTGCTCACTCCGCAAGAGAGCGGTGGTTTTTCCGAAAAATAGCAGATGGTTTCCTGAATCCATTCGTAACCAGCGGAAAGGCGAGAATATACCCCAGGCCGAGCCTCTCTAGCACAGCCCAACCCCTTTCAAATGAATTGAACATTGGTGCAAAAAGAATAGCATGCATTATCATTGAGCATCTCACTAGAATAGTGGAAATCCCGCATCAAACGACAGTACTGAAGGCCACTTACCCAGGATACTAAACCAATCACAGATCCATCAGCAGACAATAACGGTGCAGCACTATCCCCATCACAACTGTTATGGTTTCGCAATAGAGAAAAAAAACATTAGATCAATTTGACGATGTARGAAGGCAATTTGGTTCTTAAAAAATCAAGTTGCGTTGTAAAAAACGATGACAATCAAATAACGTCCGTACCTATCCCTTCCTTGTCCTGCCGCACAAACTACAACCTCATTGTTGATTAGAAACTCAGGATAGAGATCTTGACACTCCATGGAATTGATTTGATATACTTCGGCACTCAGCAAAGTGCTCGATACATTCCCATCCTCTTCAGTTCGTCCCATACCAAGCACAGTCAATGGACCACTATTCTCATTCCTGGGGATGGTCGAGTCTCGATTCAATGAAGCCAACGGTTTGTTGACCTGAAATGAACAAGTAGAAAGTTGGTGATTTGACGATATTTTCATTATGTTTACGGAGAGGTGTATTCCTCCGTTTGGTTACACGAATATCTTTCGTAACAAAAATATTTGACGTACCCATCTCTCTAGTTTCAAAAGTCTGAAGTCATATTCGTGAGTTTCAGTGTTATACTCCGGATGTGTCTTTTCTTTGAGGACCTGCACATATACAGAGTCGTCTGTAGTCGATCCTCGCTCATGGGCTCCAACCTGCGCAGTGCTTCCAACGACAAAGGTGCTTCCATGTTGTGTCGTTTTGTTTGGTTCAGTATCGATTGATTCGGACAAGGTTTATCGGGATGCGTTGATCAAGAAAAAATGAGTAATCGCAGTACAAAATRGTTCATCTGCGCCTTCGTCACGGCAATTCAAGTCTCTCGATACAACTCACCACTATATTTCGTTCAAAACGAGAAGTTTTCAATCAATACGTCATCGCATAAATATAGTGATGAGAGCGGTCAAAATGAGGAAACGTGAATCTGCTTCATACATGTTCCATTCGTTGTTCTACTCGTTTTTTGTATCATTGTGAACTTACATGGGCAGCAGTCAGAACGATGTCACCGTGGATCAAGGCTCCTGCACACGCACCAAGGTTAACAAAAAAAGGGTAGTCTTGGTTGGTCGGAACTTCTGCACCCCCAACAATGCGGGTAGATTTTTTTCCCTTGTTATTTTGCCCATCGGTTGTAGCTTGTTCTTTATAGGTGCCCTTCAAGCGAGCATCGACTTGCACAGACAAGATCGCTGTTATCAAAAAGAGCACGCATGAAATGGACTGCATCGGGTAAGGGAATTGTTTATCCTCTTTGTCGCCCGCACTTTCCTCTTCCCTTTCCTTCCTTGTTGGGATAGAAAATAAAATTCCGGTGTCTCTGAATACTTAGATCTTACTCTCCAAGCCCCCCATTGTAGATACAGWAGTAGAAGTAATACTTACTGTAAATAAGAGGGGTGTCTCAATCAGCATATCCCATCATTCGGTACAAGTTCGAGTAAAAGAAAATTCCAATTTCAAACTAATGATTTCAAATGTCGGGTTTCCGTGCCTGCGTGTCGTGCTACTAGATTCATGTAGATTTTTGGCACGCATGAAAGGTAACATCAAAATTTAAGGTTCCCATTTCCCTTCCTCGCTCTTCATTCCTCATGATATAACCAACAGTACGAGTTTAATCGGAGTAAAATGCGTTAACCGTATGAACCCTACCACGTCCTACAGCGCAGAAAGGCATTCTATTCAAACACCAAAAATTATTACYAGTAGCATCACGGTTAATTTTGGGCACCGTATTTTAGTACTGATCCTACATAGATCTACCAGTTTTTGGTCACTTTCTGACCACAAACAGTGTAATAGGACATTTAGAACTGCTCCGGTATTGCCTGAGAGCAGCTGTTCTTTGGGGAAGTGCTTCCTTATAGTGTTGRGAATAGCCCCATGTGTCATTGAAACACGATTAGGGGCCAGGGGGGGGGCGATTCTCCACTAACACACGATATGGCCAAAATTGGCCGGTTTACAAGAGCGCCTGCTAGTTAGAAAATAGCCCAGAACTCTATCAARAAACAACTTTAGAGCACCAGACTAAGCGCCCAGACCAAGATAATACAATTACTTAGTGATCCAGGTCATTGGGATGCTTAAGGATGCTCTGGCGGCTTAGAACTWGTATGCAGCAGTTACAGTAGTAGTGGGCCAAAATTCCTGCGTTAATTCTAGGTGTAATTTTACTCAAGTTAAACTCGTACCGTACGGTATTTACTAGATGTACCGTAAGAAGTACGTACGGCCCCCATGCTGGCAAATTTTTGCATTTCCCGCGCAAACAATAGTAATAGAATTTTTTAGCTCATTTTTACGGTTAAAATTTTCCATTGTTTGATTTCTCTCTGGTCCCGAAATATTTCTATTAGCAGTCCTTACTACTGGTGGAAAGGTAATATCATTGTGCTTAGTATTAGCACTGCTGGATAACATGTGCGTAACTTCGTTACACTTGGTCATTCAGGGTCGACATAAATTTATATCTTTATGTAAAAAGAGGGCTTCATAGGCCACAATTTGCATATTCTTCATCGTAGTCGAGACGTGGCTGCTACCATTAGAAATGTGACCAAAGACATCATATTTTATTACTTTATTATTTTTTTTCCAGAAATGAACCAAAAATCACGAATCTTACTCAATTTCACAACCTATTTTGATCTATAGGCCAACGAGTGTGTTGAGAACGGGTGCTAAGCATGCTGCCACAGTCAACAATGCAATAGAGAATCCCGCATGAGCCCCACTTGTGGTGATGTCATCGACGTCGCTATCGCTACTGCTAGTCATGCCAGTCTCGTCGAAGATTCCAACACTCATCAAGAGTGATTCGCCGCTGCTGTCGTCGACACCATCGTTGTCGGTGTTGATCCACATCATTCCGTTCTTTGCGATTGCCAGGCCTTCGACTTTTTCTAGGATTTGCCCCTGGGAAGCGAGCAAATCCGATACAAGATCTTTCACGAGCTTCTTCTCAATGGTAACGCCATCTGCCATGGAATAGTCGCCCAGGTCGATTTCGTAAATCTTTTTGATGGCCGCGTCGGGACCGCCCTGGTTGTCGCGTTCCAAAACGAGGAACTTGCCGTCACCCAGTGACGAAATGTCGCTCAGACCGACCCATCCTCCGTTTTGGCTTTCAGCTTCGTCCAAGGGATAAAAGACAGACTTCCAGGAGTCGTTTGAAACATCGTAAATTGCGAGTCGTGGGTTGGGCTCGTCTCCCCAGGCCCTCTGAACAGCCACAACAACCATTTTCCCGTCTTCGGCGACACCCTCGAAACCGAAACGGAGCTGGTCTGCAAATGACCCATCATCGGGGAGCAAGAAGCAGTCAGTAATCACAGCTTCCTCAGTGGTCTTGAGCAAGAGGTTGGGAAAGGCAAACGGTTTGTCCTCGTCCCCCACGGTGCCCTTTCCTTCGGATGCAATCCAGAAACCACCGTCTACCGAAACAGAAATGCCCTCGGGATCGATGTTGACAGTGTTATCTTCGCTGTTGATCATCGATGCTACGTCTACCTGTAGAGCCATGCTGCTGAAGTTTCCAGCGAGGCATTCGGCCAAGACGCCGTCGGAATCCATGATTCGTTGCTCGGTAGTGACGACAGCGGGAAATGAAGACGTGTCGATGGTCATAATGCGGTTCTTGTTGTAAAAGGAATCCTCGATCGTGTACAAAATGTTCTCGTTCGTGAGATCGGCGGCCAATCCCGAGAGTGCCGCAAAAGGAATAGATGGACTATTACCCTTTGAAGCAGAGACGAGGGTGGGGTATTCGGGGGTGGCTCCATCGGTCAGCTCGAAAATAGTAATCGAGGATCGAATCTTGTCGCCACGCTCGTCAACTTCCGAGGCGATGGCCACAAGATTCTGCGAGGGGATAGTTGTGATACCTTCAGGGCCGGTTCCCACTGGAAGGATTTGAACCAATTCCGGTTCGGTAGGACCATTCATCAGGTACACGAAAACAACACTGGATCGTTCCGATAGGACGAAGACATATTCCTTTTCTCCGAAGGCCGAATAGAACACGTTTTCGGGTTCGTTGCCTTTGTTACCAGAACGCTCGTCGGGGTAATGGCCCACGCGGGCAGTCTCCCACTCCATTTCGAGTCCAGAGTCGTACACGACCTCGCCGGAGGTAGAATCGACGATGGACCAGCCACGGGAGCCTCCGTCAAGATCTCCCTCGTTGGCTGTTGCAAAGTAATCACTGCTTCCGATCCAAGCGATACCGTCGGGCTCTCGGAGCAACTCGTGTTCCTGCACATCCTCTCCTGCACGCTCGATTGACAACGAAGGCTTGCCCTGTAGAATGAGGCCATCTTCCGTAGTATCGATAGAATCTAGAGTCACAGATCCCGCATCAAAAGCGGCGGTGATGCTTGCACTCGCGAGGTCAATGACAACGTTACAATTGTTTTCTTGCAGAGAAACAACGACCTTCGTGTTGTCGGGGTGAATGGCTACGTATTCAGGTTCGGGATCATCTGGATACAAGCACGCTCCAACAACGCTGGGATCGTTTGCCATGGGGACATCAACCGTCGTCCAGGATTCGGGGGACGYAAGGTCAGTTACTGTGATAATAGAAACAAGTCCTGCAGGGAGCTGGGGTGGGACTCCATCACCAAGGTCTTCATCGCGCTCGTTTTCGATGGCAACAGCGATGTAAAGTGGGGACCCATCGTTATCTTTCCAGTTCGAGGAAACTGATACGGCATCCGGCTGTCCTGGAAGCTCGATCTCGTGGACAATGGTCTTGCTTTCCAAATCGACAACGGCGAGTTTTCCGGTGGGATTGACAAAATCAGGACTGGTGTTGACGCCCACGACGGCTGCGACCACATGGGTTGTATTTGAATTGTCACACCCGTAGATATTGAGAATAGCGATGATAAAAAAGAACACGGATAAAACTAGGCGGTGAGATCTTATCGTGGAATAATAAGGCAAGACATCAAAGACTACAATCATTTTCATTATGCAACATAAAATACATGCAAGCACATATGAACAGAAACATATGTATGAAAAAATACATCTACGCACCATAGTCTCCAATCACACGGACGGTGGTCGGTTCCCCACCTAGAGGCACGATCCCATCGGCGGCTGGGGATGAAGGATTTGAGATGTCTACAAAGCCAAGGTTTTCCGATTCGGAATCGGTGTAGACTARGTGTAGGTCGGATCCGGAGCCGTAGTACCAGATGGTTTCGGCATTGGTTTGATCGTCCGTGTTGCAGGTCGGGTCGATCTGTTTACAGATGTGAAAGGTGGAGATGCGCGTGAAAGCCGATGATGCTTCGGCCCCAGTGGCGGCACCGAGGGCGATCAACATCGTCGCTACTGCTTTCATTGTGGTCTTCATGATAGATTTTTGGTGCTGTGGGTTTTKGTAATTTTTTTTCCAAAGATATGGCRGAATCCTGAGAAGACGCGATCTTTATTTCTCTCAAGCACATGTAAGGCAATTTCGGAAATAACGTTGGTTGGGGAAGGAAAACTGGTCAGACAGAAGGTCTGTGTCAAAGATTCTTGTAGATTCGAAAATTATCGTGCGGTACTCGTAGTCCTGATGAATCTCGTAGTTGGTGGTTGCACAAGATGCTCAAAGGTGTTGTACAGAAATAACATCTCGAACGAAGAATGCATTTTGTCGAATCTTCGTCAAAACGGATCGGGAGAAGTAAAAATGAAGTAATACTAAGAATGAAGCAATCTGATTAGTTAATTGGATTGATTGGAAAGATCAAAATTATCAAAAAKGAATCCTATGGGGACATTGTGAAACGGTGTATATTGACTCACGTACAATAGCTACAATGACGCTGACTACTTTGACTAAAGTAGAATTTTTTGCAACGTGCGCGAGACAGGTACAGGGCCCTCCGGTCGCGCGCATCCCCCTTTTCGAATTCCTCCCCTAGAAAAATGTGGGTTATTTTTGGTGAAGAACAACCCACGTTTTAGAATTGTGGGTTATTTCATCGGATAAACAACCCATGTTTCTAAAATGTGGGTTATTTAATTTGGAAAATGAACCATGAAAGAACGCAGGAACCCACAAATAACCCATGAAAGAACCCATGAACAATAACCAATAAATTTACAGTCACCTGCTGGATTGTTGATGGACGAGAACCAACAAGGACAATGTTAACAAGTATTTTAGTCATCACTAACATTAATTAGTCAATGTGTTTAATATTTGAAAATAGGCCCCATAGATTTGTGGGTTATTTCATGGGTTATTTGTAGGTTAACCCAGGAACCCAGGAAGCCATGTTTCAAAACATGGGTTGTTTGTTTTTGTGAAAAATAACCCACATTTCAGAATTCTTGTGGGTCATTTCATGGGAAAATATCCCACAAGATAATTCCCCCAAATTTTGGATATCAAAAGGGGAGGTAGATGTGCACACATGGATTTTGGAGGGCCCAGTACCAGTTTAATCAATGTGTAATGCGTTAATTGTAGAATCCTACCATGCCCTATCATCCCTTCTTACTACTAGGGCAAAAAGGCTTTCTACTACTACTCAAACACCAAAAATTATTACTAGTAAAATTGTGTGTTAATTTTGAAGCCAAGTATTTAATGCTGATCCTACATAGATCTACTGGTATTTGGTCACTCTTTTGACCCCCAACAGTTCAATAAGCTAACCACAACAGCTCCAGAAAGGCCTCCAATGAGAGATCCCCTTTGGGGATATGCTTCTTGGTCATATTGGTGTTAAGAAGAGTGCTGTGTGTCATTGTTAGTACTACACAATTAGAGCCCAGGGGGGAGCCAGCTCTCCATTAACGGCTGGTATGGCAAAAATCAGCCAGTGCTGGAGACCAACTGTTGGTTAGAAAATACTAGTAGGCCAGAACTCTAGTACTATTGAAAACACTCAAGAATGTATCACATTTGAACCTCCATTCCTGTTGGTCTACAGCTGAGTGAAATGAGTCATAACAATCCACGCAGAGGTTAGTATTGGATGCTCTACAACAGTGCAGCACTTGGGCTCTCTTCTGAATGTATGCAGCCCAATTATTTGGACTTTGTACAGCTTGGTTTTATAGGCAAGGGATCTCACAGCATCCTGTATTGATCTGGTGTCTCAACACATTGCCTGCAGAAAGTGATACATCAGCCAGATAATCTAACTTTCTGTCCCACAGCACTGATGCTTCCATCCAAGATAATTGAGTTTATCATTAGAGTGGACATGGATGAAGAAGAGGAATCGAACTTACACTTTCTGCTTGAAATGGTTGAAGGAGGAGGAGATGAATCTTGAGCCATAGTGCCAGCRGGATCAATCAAGAACATAGCAACAGATTTTTGGAATTGGTACTGAGACAACAAATCTTTCTTCTTCATTTCTTCTGCAAGGCATACTTGCTTATAAACCACATATGCATTAGTTAGACACACTCCTAGGCCCAAAAATATAATATTCCACCACTACTTCCTATTGCATAGCCAGCTCTGGAGCTCATAGTTTTCTTGCAGTTGGTCATCAAAAGTTGATTGGCCGTAGATCAACAAAAGGAAACTGAGATGTAAAGATTGTTCATCCCCACTGGGTGGTGATCGTCCTTTTAAAAACGTATCAAACATTTCCAAAACCAAAATTGTGACAAGATTGCATCTTGGAACTACGGCAGAACAATCATCTTTATAAAGTCGAAAATTATATTTTGATGATACAATAAAACTCCTTTCAAACCGATTGAACAAACTAGCAACTGGATGATTTTTTGTCTTTCTAAGCTATATCAGCCCCATTTCCCCTCTAAGACAAAACCATCGATTCAAACGTTCCAGTAGGATTTCCAAAAGCTAGCTCCGCAGAAGTTGGTAGAAAATGAACTAGGGCACAGAACTTTTATTTTGAAGTTCTTCACGTTGAACTGAAGTTTTGAACTTCATAAAGTGTAAAACCACCCAGTCGGTACTGTATTCAATTGGTTTGAAACGCGCTGTAAAAACTTAACGCGAAGGAATCTTCTCCCGTGCTATTCGTTGGCGTGTATGCGCCGAAGGTGCTCTTCTGGACCATCTACAGGAAGATGGTGGTTCGTTGCAATTTTTTGTGCAACGAGTTTTGCAACGTCTCGTGGTTTGCTTCTGAGTTGCGTCCTTCGAGACGATACCACGGCGCCAGCTGATTTGATAAGCAAGCGKCTAGTCCAGCCCACAGAGCATCAAAGCAATCCATGCATCCCATCGAATGTTGCCTCGATTCGCTATCGCTTTGTTCCCATGTAGTTTTTGACGATTCTCACCGCATCGTCGATCGGACCCCCGCTCAGCGTATCGAGAAAGGGAATCGATGTGTAGTCGATCCCCTTCCACCGGCTCAGGTACTCAAAGAAATCCACCTGGTCGTCCGGCAGGAATTCGATCACGTGGGACCGGCTCTCGGCCATGAAGAGCAGGTGCGAGAGGCCCGCTCCGTGGATGCCAACGAGGACGTGCGCCCGCCGCACCAGTTCGAGCTGCTCCCGAACGGAAAGGGTTTCGAGCCGTACGAGATCGACCGTGGTGCCGGGTATGCGCTCCAGCCGCCGCTGCAGCTCGTCCAGATCGGACGCACGGAACTGTCGGAGGAAATTGCTGGTGCTGCTCCTGGGGTGCGACACGAAGGGCTGCCGGTCGATCAGAACGATGCGCCCCCTGGCCACCTCCGGCTGCTGCAGCAGGCCGTGCCGTGCCAGCACAAACTCCGAAAAGGCGTCGGTCATCCCCTTGCTGGGGCACCGGGGTATTCTCCACTCATTGAAGAGTTCCGATTTGTATCCGGCGGGAACAAACACAGCGCGTTCGAAACAAAGCCCGCCGTCTCCGGATCCCTCRTCCATGTGCTTTACGAATCGAAAGTTTCCAAACAGAGATTTCCATGTGGAGTCGAGCAGGCCTTCCGCGTGGCCGTCCAAAAAGACGACCCGATCGGGTTTTTCGTCTCTGTGGTTTTGTGCCGACGAGGAGACTAAGAAGGCGTTCCACCAATCTGTAACGGTGTGAAAAAGATTCACGTATTCGTAGCGTGTCAAAAAAAGGGTCGTTCCCTTGTAGATTTTCTTGCAAGAGAGGTCCAGTCGGTGCTTGTTCCTGGRAGTAGGATACCGCAGGGCGTTCAAAACATCTCCCAGGTAGTGCATATTTTGTCGGAACTCGTTCGGAACCTCGAAGTGTGGCTTGACCGGTGTCGAAAAGGCTCCCCGCTGGTAGAGAGGAAACTCGTCRGATTCTTCTCTCCCCATAACCGTCGATAAGACCTCCCCACCCCTGGCCACCATGTGAATTTTGCGGGGATCGACCCTCAGGTTTTCGAAGTTGCAAAAGACGGTCTCCGTGTCCTTGTTGACCTGGCACCCGTGCCTGGGTCGCCGGACGGAGTGATCGAAGGCCCCACAGCTTCCCGGAAGGTGCTCTTCGCTCTGTTGTGMCCTCTGTTCGACGATCGGAACTAGATRRTCGCGGCGCCCGGTGGGGCCATCGCCGCTGCCGGMAGCGGACTGCAGCCTCTTGATCCSTTCGAGGGCCGCGATCCTTCCCTCGTTGGCCGTCGCAATCAGTTGTTGTTCCATGACCATGATCTCGAGGTTGGAACCGAGATGGAGTGCCTCCCAGCAGAGAACCGCCATGGCGATCCCAATGGAAAGGACGACCACTCCGTGGGTACACCGTGATGTCAGTGCGCATCGACCGCCGCGTTTCCGTTGTGCCGTCCCTTTGGGGATTGTTTTTCTGCCGTACGAGGAGGTTGGAAGCGCCATTTTGTATCATCGATCACTTTTCATTTACCGGTATGATTGAGGCCTCGATACGTATCACGGTTTCGATGGCAGTGGAAGTCGAAGGTGTCAGCACTGTATTTAAGTATCAGCTAGTCGCATGCCACCAGCAACTAGTTTCAATGTGAGTGTTGATATTTAAAAGATGCAGATACAGATGTTTTCTTTGGTTTCACCATGTTATCATTTTGGAAAGTTTCTTGAAAATCCACCCCCCAGACCCCCTCTTCCTCTTCGAGGAACAATTTCAGTCAAAACTATTTTAGTCCYTTTTAATGTTTCGACTTTCACAAACAAGTACGAACGCACTTGTACCGTACCGTACTCGTCGTACTTCTCAGATTTTGTACTCGTACTGTTCTCTTCGCTCCTTTTTCTTCTCGACTTCGATTACTTACTGTACAGCACGTTACGTACGTACTAACTGTCAGGGGTCTAAATTATGACCCATGCGTACTGTACGGTACAGCATTAGGGTTTACAGCTTAAAACCTGTACGGTAGAATTTTTTCCGSTACAGAACGTACGAGTACAGTACCGTRCTGTACCTACAGTATTGCACAGTGCATGGMATCTTTTTCAATCGCAATGCGGGACTAAGATTATTCACGCTGCTCCTCTCTCCTCTGTCGATTATTTTTCCTTTGAGGTAGGGTAACGTAAACCGTCCTTACGTACCTACCGTACGTGTCTAGTACTGTACGTACCTCGTACTCGTTCTTCGTACTCTGTAACCCAAAGAATCAAAAGCAACATTCAAAGGTTTCTCACCCCCCCCCCCCCGCTCCTTTTTTCGTTTGTGAAAACAACTCGTGCGCGAGCAAACCCCTTCAATCAGCGACGCGACGGGCATTTCTCGACCGATGGTCATTTTCAAGAAGACCGTTAGAACTTACGGCTCACTCAGACTTCCTGCTCATCAGCAACTAGTCAGGCATAATATCCTTCTTGCCGTTCGGTGGTCGTACCGTACCGCAAACTGCCTAAACCAGTAGGTAGAGTTGTTGGTAATACTGCACCGTGTCCGCACGAGAACCCCCAATTGATGGACTCCACAATATAAACTGTTATCACTACTCTTACTTTTGTCTCCAGAGGGGTCCCTCGCCTCTCCATTGCAAGATAATCCCTTTCGAACCAGCCCCACCCTCAAAGGAGAAATTCGCGACTGCACTGGCGCAATCCAGGTGTCGTCGTCGAATTTGAAACTGCAACCACTGAGAAGAGCCAACACGGCCCATCGCTCGTGACTTTTTCCGAGAACGATCGATTACAACACCAGAAGACAAACAATGGACATGGCCGGCGGCTTTACTCTTCAGAACATGGCGTGCCTCACACTAGATGGATCGGGAAACGAGGATGCCACGCCGTCGGAARCGGCAGCCACGGGGGAGCAGCAAGTGYCAAAGGAAAAGTCCTCCTCCCAGGAAGCACGGGACGAATCGACGGCACCGACGACATCCCACCGAAGAGGCAGCAGCAGCAGCAGCAACCTCGGCACGGCGGGCGATATAGGAGGAGGGGGGTTTCTYGCCTCGGGTTTTTCGTGGTTCGACAAACAAAGAGAAAAACGGCGCAGGGACCACCTCAAGCAGGAGGCAGAGAAACAATTGCAAAAGATTGCCGACGCCCAGCGAGCCGCTCGCAAGTCTGCTTCGGGTTCCAATTCCACTAAAAACATTCAYTCGTCGGTCAATAGGAACCACAGCCTCATCAGCTCGTCCTCCTCCTCCTCTTCACCGTCGCAGCAAGACGGGATGTATGTCATGCCCAACAACAGTCTCAAGAGCAACGCCAGCGGATCGTCGGACGGAGGGGATTGCGAGAACGGGAACGACAAATCGAAYGCAAAGCAAAGGCAAACGCAATTTTACACACAAACGTCAAACTCGTTTGGAACCTCGGACGTGTCCAAAAGTGGAGAAGGTGCCTCTGGAACCCTCGATCTGAGCGACATTGATGCACTCGGCGACGGTGGGGTTTCCAACCGAAAGAGCCCTGCGAAAAGCACGGACGACGACGAAAGCGTGTATATAATACCTCCAGTCCGGGTCACGCACGTGGAAGGTGACGAGGCCAGTCCCTATATTCTCTCCCAAAAGCAAATGGACGAGATCGCCAAACACGTGCTGCCCGAGACTATTACCTACTGCCGGTGGAGGAGGTTGTACGGACTCGGACGCGATGGCGACTCCTTCGAGGGCTGCCTACGGATCATTGGGGCCGAAAAACGAACCCTAATGGTCGTCCGGACCAGCAAGGGAGACGTCTTTGGGGGCTACGCCGATGCCCCGTGGCACTCGCGCCAGGCCAATGCAACSGCACACTTTTATGGCACCGCCTCTTCCTGCCTCTTTTCCTTTAGCTCAACCCTCACCGAGTACTCCAGCTCGTCGTCGCCGACCGACTCACCGATCAACGTGTACCGGTGGACCGGAAAGAACCGATACATACAGGTTTGCGACGTCTTTCACAAAATGCTGGCCTTTGGGGGTGGTGGCGACAAGGGTGCCTTTGGSCTCTGCCTGCAGGACGACTTTCAGCGCGGGACCACCGGGCACTGCGATACCTTTGACAACGAYCCCCTCTGCTCTGGCGACAGCCGAACCTTTGACGTGGTCGATGTGGAATTCTGGGAGTTCCAGACCGGCGTGTTTTAGGAAAAAACCGGTGGATCGCTTCGCTTCCTTTCGAATCGATTTGATTTGATTTGATTTGATTTGTTTCGAGTCGATTCGATTCGATTCGGATCAGACTGTTCCATCTTTTTTCGGCTTTCTGCACCTCTGCGCAAAACACACAATAACATTATTGTAGAAGTCGCGATGCACCAACCATTAGCCCGAACCTTGCAACGTTTTGTGYGTGCTTGCTTGGGGCTGTGATGGATCAATGGGGCACAATGTTTTGTTGGGYACAAATGCTTTGCGCTATTGCAACAAAGAAGCGCTGCGTGATCCACACTCGTGCGAGTGTTTGTATATTATTGTGAACCACAATTCTTCCATCCTAATGGAGTATGTRTATCGATAGGGCGATTGGCGTTAAGTTATAGAAAGGAACCATTGGTATTATAATATTGCTAAATTATAAGTACGGCGTCTTCAGCATTCTACGACGACCATGGAAAGTTCTTGCAATGCGCGCCCAAAATGGYTACATTAYATTTKGAACAGAGCAGGGCTATTTTCTACAGATTTGAGCTTTCTCGTGACTTACTGTTGCATAACTCTGTCGGTTTTTACCCAACCTCGAAAGATCGGCATCGGTTTGCTAGCATGTTCGCGCTGCATGCCATGAAGCATTTTCCCTGAAACACAACTTTTTGTTTCGTGGTAGATTTATTTTTCTCCTYTTGGAAGGGTTGYAGAGTGAGGTGACAAAACGACGCGTCGCTATCGACTTCTTTGGAATAGTGGCTTGCGTCTGACACTGATCTTATTTCCTCGACACTCGGAGGGTCAATCCGTGTCAGGGGCGTTTTCATCAAATCCGTTTGGAGTTCTTTCCACTTCGTTTCGCTAGCTACAGCCTTCTCCAAAACCGACAACGAACACCAGGTTGACGACCACGTATCTGCAGTGAACGCAGCGTCCTTCTCCAAAAGAAGCAAGTCACCAATGGATGCCACAATGGATCTCGTCACACGCATGTATTCGGAAAGACCCCGAACCATAACGGAGAGAGGCGATTTGATTTGGTTCCATTCGTGGGAAGAAAACGATTCCGCTTCGTTGAGTAGGGACTGTAGACGATCAAATTCTGCGTTGGCAACCCCAAAGATCTGTGCCCAAACTTGTGCACAATTGTTTTTAGAAGTCAAACRTTCGAGAATATAAAGACATCGGTCGACACGGTTCCTATTGCGTTTGGTCATTGAAGTTCTGGTTCCGATAATGGCCTCAAATCTGTCTCCAAGATCGACAATCTCGTCCGTAGACTGTGATTTGTGCAAGACGTATTTTGGAAGTTGCAATGCTAACAAACAGATTCGATCGCGAATACCGGCCTCCTCTGTGGAACTGTCTACAGATGGAGTAGTGGTCACGTTCTCAAAGTCTCCCCAATCGTCCTCGTCCTCGTCATCCCCGAGCTTAACAGACTCCGATAGCATTTGTGCCGACTTCTGCACATCGGCAGGGAAAGTGTTTTGAGACGAAGAAAAATCACCAAAGTCCCCATGCTGCTCTGTGCTCTTAGTTTGCGGAGTTTCAAGCACAGAAAAATCTCCAAAGTCGGAAACATCATCGTTTTTAACTGAATTGCTTTCAATCGGATCTGTTCGACTGACTGGCTCGGAAYTTTCAAAAGCACCAAAAGCATCTTCTTGYACCTCTTGCATGTGATCTGCATTTTGCTCTGCTGGTGTAGTGAATTTTGCACTTCCAAAAGCACCAAAGTCATCTTCCCCTGACTGCTGCGCATGATCTGAAATTTGTTCTGCTTTGTCATTAGGCATCGCACTTCCAAAATCACCAAANCCAAAATCACCAAAGTCATCTTCTTCTGCTTGTTGCATGTGATCTAAAGTTGGCACTGCTGGTGTAGTGAATTTTGTACTTCCAAAAGCACCAAAGTCATCTTCCCCTGACTGCTGGGCATGATCTGAAATTTGTTCTGCTTTTTCATTGGGCATCGCACTTCCAAAATCACCAAAGTCATCTTCTTCTGCTTGTTGCATGTGATNCTGCTGGGCATGATCTGAAATTTGTTCTGCTTTTTCATTGGGCATCGCACTTCCAAAATCACCAAAGTCATCTTCTTCTGCTTGTTGCATGTGATTTGAGATTGGTTCTGCTGGAGCAGTAAAACTCGAGAAGATATCCAGGCTGTCGGATGGAGAGATACCTGTATTTGGTTGGGTTTGAGGTGGGAAATTAGCAATTTCAAAATCTCCTACTTCGGATTGTAGGTTAGCACCATCCCCGTGCGAAGGGACATCATCCTCAGGAGCTCTGAAGTCACCGAACAAGTCGGTACTTTCCTTCACAGACTTAATTTGATCGGGACTCCGGAAATCTCCGAAGTCATGCTCCTCTATAGATTGAGTCTCAATGTTTTGCTCGGCACTTCCAAAATCACCGAAATCATCTTCCACCTCCGGGCGATTTATCTGGTTATGATTCTTCTCGGCAGGTGTGACTTCAGCACTTCCAAAGTCACCAAAATCGTCTTCTTCCGACGGACCATCTTGGATTTCGTTGTCGATGGGAGGTACGACTTCGGCACTTCCAAAGTCTCCAAATTCATCTTCTGCCATTCCAGGACTGTTTTCATTGCAGTYTGCAGGAATTGTGAGTTTGGCACTTCCAAAGTCCCCAAAATCATCTGCCTCGCTAAGTACAGTGCCTCGACGCTCAATTCCTGAGGAAGATGTGAAGTCATCGCCACTATCACCAACATTCTGTGTTGTAGAACTTCCATATAGGTCGASTATACTAGCAGTTGTGCCTTTGCTGGCCGACATTCTGGTATCACTAGTACCACCAAAAGACATAAGTCCGGGTAAAGGTGCATCGGGCACCTCTAGATTTCCAAAAGGATCCGCAATAGATAACGAAGGGCCAGTCTCTGTGAYAGCAGGTGTTGACAAAACAGTCGAAGCCTGGAGAAGATAATCATCMCTTGTGCTCTCATTTTTCATATCAKCTGACACAKATCGTAATTCCCCTTGTTCATTTCGTTCGTTTRTACCATCCATACTTCCTGATGGATGGGTATCAGCTGTTTTGAATCCTCCGAAACTATCATTGTTATGAGTATCGACAACACCAACCAGATCTTTAGATTCTACATTTGGATCAGGTGTTGCAGCCAGCATTTCCAGTGAAGGCAATGGCGCATCTTCTGTTCCCAACGCATCAAAGATCGGGATCTGACGATCTGCATCCGATACAGCCATGGTACCAGTAGACTCAAACGGTTCGGATTTGTCATGAGATTTTTCTGGCGGTCTTTCGTCATTCTCCAAAGGAGCGGCATCAAAGTCTTCAAATTCATCGCCATCACCATCGTCACTTTTAGATGAAATACCCGCTAGGTGCTCTGGTTGTGGCCGAACCGCTGTAAAATCTCCAAAATCATCATTGGATTCATTTCTCTTTTTTTTGTTTTCTTCACTCGCTGATAGACAACCCACATTACTATTGGCTGTCATCATTTCTAGTGATGGCAACKGCCGATCTTCTGTAGAAGCAAGTTCACCGAAGGCATCATCTATTGATATAGAGCGAAGATGGCCAGTACCCATCATACCTTTCGCAGGTACTAGAGTTTCATCCACTCGTATTGGCTCTGAAACCGTTCGACCTATATCTGTCATACTCGGTGGGAGAKCACCTTCCATATTGATTCCAACGCAATCTGATCCCATGACATCTGATCCTGATGATAATTCGTTGTTTCCGCCTCTATCAGAGCTTGAAACGCCTCCAAAGTCACCAAACTCATCATCGCTGTCGCCGTCGTCCTTGGTTTGGTCATCGTTTCTTTTTGGTTCTGAAGGTGCGGCTTCAACCTTTTCAAAATTTCCGAAGACACCATCGACMTCGTCAAGGTTTTTGTCTTCCAAAATCGTATTCGTTGCCATATTATGTTGCATCGACGGTAGAGTGGCATCTTCCTGAACCGGCATATCACTAAATGCATCTGTGATCGATAGAGAAGAAGGTGCGCTGGTTGCAGGTATCATCTGGGGTGCTACAGCTACCATGGGTTCTGACATAGTCTTCCCGAGGTCTGTTACCATCGGAAAATCCACCGATGYGATCAGCGAGTTTTCTACTTTCTTTTCTCTGTTTTCAAATTCATCTTTGCTATGATCTGTTGCATCTACCCCACCATCATGAAAAGTAGGTCCCGTTTCGAACTCACCAAACTCGTCGTCCTCCTCGTTCGCAGTACCTGTTGCAACGACAGTTTCCTCTGGCTTCATTTGTTTCTCCAAGTCCGGCTGAAAACCATCTCCATTGCTACTACCAAGTGCATTGAGTGATGGGAGAGGGGCATCTTGTACTGCACCTAGGTCTTCGAAGGCATCCGATACCGATAGAGTTGACATGGACGTGGGAACTATRACAGGAGTTGCATTGTTGCCAGAAATGGGTTCGGAAAGAGTTCGACCAAAGTCCGTAACAAACGGTTGCTGTTGTTGTGCACGTTGCTGGTTCATGAAAGAGTCCCCACCAAAACTACTAACAACTGTATTTCTAGGGGGTACTGGAATAGAAGGGGCCGATCCAAAATCTCCAAAACCATCGTCGTCGTCATCATTGTCATGGGTAATGCTCGCTTCCGTCGTCGTCATCCCTGGCGTAGAAATGCTAGGTGCCGTAGACACATTGGGCGATTGTTCTTTTTGCGGTGTTTGGATCACACCTCCAAATTGATATCCCTTAGATTGCAAGACAGAAGGTTGCAACGAGAAAAAGCCACCTGACGCTGAAGTAGTGTTTGTAGCATCAGCTATTTTCTCTTCGGAAGATGACTGCACATTCATGACCAAATGACCGTACATCGTCATCAGCTGATTGACATGTGGAATTGCAATGTTCGAAAACACGGGCAGTGGTAGCTGTCGGGAGGCATGCTGGGATATAGCCGATCCCATGATAGTGGTATCATTATTATTAAGCATTCCGGCTTGTGCCATCGCCACCAATCTCAAGATGACGTGAAACTGAGAAATGTTGGTCAATGAACCGAAACTCTGGGGATCCGCCACGGTCCATATTGCACGCAAAATTCCTCGATCGACGCCGCTTTGTGTCAAGAAAGGAACGGCGTTCCGTCCAGAGATATTGATGTTTGTATTGTTGGGGAGAGGAATGATTGTTCCAAAGACTTGGTTGGCAAGATAGAGACTATATACCTGCTCGATCGCAGTAGCTTCATACACGCAAACCATTYTTCGATCGCTTTGTGAAAGTGCGTTGTGGAAACCTGTTGATGTTTTGAAGCACTGAGCGTTCGAGTATCGAGTGTAGTGCGTTTTTCCAACTGAAACAATCCTKTTCGGTCAAGATTCGTGCGCCCCTTCCCAATTCAACTATCTCTACGGCCAACTTCGACGACAGAACGTGCTCTGAAATCGMTGTAACTCGAGCCTGTGACTTCGACTATGCGTTCGAATACTGCAATYGTTATCTACTGATATCACCATGTATGTTAGTGGTAGTACTCGTACTCGTAGTCTCGCAGTCATTGACATGGTTTAAAAAGTGAGGGAGCTCTTTCTCTTCATCGTACTACCGGTAAGTATGGTACGTACGGTACTTGTGCTTCTTGCACCGTACGATTCAGGCCTTGTGAGAAAGGGTTCTCAAGATTTTGTAAGTGGAGGCCGTCATTGTTGACAGTCATCCCCGATTTTCAAAGAGAGAAAAAATTGAAGTACGTACCGGTACCGTTCGCTTGTTATGAACATACAATCGTCCTCCCCCAAAACAATAATATTTACTTGTACCACAGTACAGATAATGGAAGCAATTTGTGCCTAAAAAAGTCTTACAGTATCAATCAACTCAGTAAAATGTACTGTAAAGTATTGCACAAACAATAAAAGACTGGAAAACAATAGACTTCTCTCTCCATGGCTCTATTGCAAGAAATCAAGATTATATGAGAAAGTCCAAGTTGTGRTAGTAGGAGTTCCTGTCTCATCATGAACGTACTCCTCCACTTCAGTGCAAATTTGGTGTGTCGACTAGATTTCTCTAAATGCAATTTGGACTACGATCGGACTGCGAGATGCTGAAATATTAACATCGAAWTGAGATTTGAAAGCTCGAATCACTTTCAAAACTTTCAGTGGATAGCATTGACAAAATGTGCGAGTCAATGAAGCCATCGTGTTCTKTAAAGGAGATCATCAGTTTTGCGCTTCACAGCTCTGCTTTTTTAATTCAAGGAGCTATGTGTTTATTGGACATAGACTTCACAGCTCCGGTTCTCGATGTTGCACTAAGATAATGTTGAGAACTTCATGAAAGCGCCAAAGCTGGGTTTCGTTTCCYCACAGAGTCKTGGTTGCCTGGTGCTACACTCGATACCACTCAAAAACAAATTTCGAAACTACAACATCGAAACTGCGCCAGGAAAGATGAGCATCGAAGAGCACATAATTATGTATTCGACRTCGACCACAAGTTATGATGTGCATTTCGTGAAGCTTACTTCTTTATTTCCACCAAGGTGATTCGTTCGTTCGGAAATCTACTTCAGTCCAGGGGGATAAGAGGATCCTCCCGGTATCTTCCTCGGTTGTCACGTGGGCTAGTGATAGTGCGTAGGGAGCRGGACCCCGCAGGACGTTGCCCATGGCATCGTACTTCGATCCGTGGCAGGGGCACTCAAACTTTTTCTCGAACTCGTTCCACGGTACGATGCACCCCAGGTGGGAACACTCCGCGTTCAGCGCAAAATCTTCGATCGCACTCTTGTCGTTGTTGACGATGAGGTACGTCGGTTCGTCTTTAAGGCCGAGGACCAGCGATCGATCGCCTGCTGGTTTAGAGCTCAGGTATTGCGTGGCTAGCAAGACCGACCCGAACCTGTCCTTCGCGACTGTTGCCGTTGCCTTCGTGGTTTCGGGGATCAACGGGGCAGCGAACGCCGCGCTTCCAGCTTTTCCTGCGCATATTAGTAGGGGTGCACATGTCGCTGTAGAGAGAACAATCTGGTGAAGAAGCTGCCGGCGATCCATGTTCGTGTTGCCCGACGAAAGGGCGAGCTTCGTTGTATCCAGAGATCGATGCGGGCCATGGAACGAAAAGCTCCATGATTGGACTCCTGCAATCGCAAGCAAAAAAAAGGCATACCGAAGAGTCTTCATCGCTTGGAACATGGCCGTTCTTCCGCTGCGATTGCTTCGGGCATGGCTCTGTTCCATAGTTGCATGGAATTAAAATACGAAAGTTTTTTGTGCTATCGTTCGTGTGGTAAAATTTGATGCGCTCCGTATCTCTTAGTTGATGAGGTCGTGCTCTCAAAAATAACTCAGATGAATTCTGAATRCGGTAGTACCGTACGGTAGTACGGTACTTGGTACTTACGAACTGTAATATTTCTCTTGCACCGGTGCTGTATGAAGTACGGTAAGAAGTACGTCCTTGTACGAACCATCCACACCTAGCCGTACGGTACTCGTACGCACTGTACTTTGTACTTGCAACTTCGGGGGGGGGGAGCAAAATCTGATTATGTCGTACGCTACGGTAGGTACGATACCTTCTTCCCTGCGACCGAATCAATTCGAGTTTGAGAATGATGATGGTAGGAAAACGCGTCATTGAGATTTTTCAATTTTTCAAGATACGTGCTCGTACAGATTTGTCGTACGAGCTATGTTGTAATGCACCAATGATAAACGTCGTATTGTATTCCATCATTTGCTTGGAACAGACTGAAACCTAAGTAGTCAGAGCTGTAATAGGTAGACAAACATCGACCAGTTTCACTCGACGAGGCTTCCTCACTGCACTTGAGAACTTTGGACCGCCGAAACGATACTCAATACCATACGTGCTTGCTTGCACTTGGTCGAACCATGAAAAGCAAACTTATTTCGCGTTTTTCTCCGATTGGTGTGATAATCATAGCAGGTTTGTTCTGYATCGAAGTCGATCTTTGTTACAGTTTTGCGTTGGTTGGCGGCCAGTTTGAACTAAAGAACCATAACCAGCTTCTAATGGCAGCAGACAAGAATCCTGTCACCGTATCMAACGAGAACAATGGCAGCGGTTCGGAAAATAGCAAGGGAGGAAAGGTCTTTGACGAAGCATCCTACGAAAAAGAACGATTGGCCAAGGATGCGCAAGCCATGGATGCCATGAAAGTCGTGGCTGAGAAAGAATTGAGCAAGGTTGACACGGGCAGTGTTGGAGAGCTTCGATCGCCATGGAAGTGGGTGCTCCGGAAACGAATCTGGGACTTCATGGAGGAAAACGATATAGCAAGGTTCCCTCGACCGGTGCACCATCGCATTCCAAACTTTGTTGGTGCGGACCAGGCAGCGAGAAGATTRAGCGAACTCCCCGAGTTTCGATCGGCGAGCACGATAAAGGTCAACCCGGACACGCCACAGCGCCCCGTGCGACATTTCGTTTTGGAACAAAAGAAAGTGTTGTTGACACCTCAACCCAGACTGCGAACGGGCTTCTTTTCGACCATTGAAATGAAGGAGCTGCCTTCGCTGGTCGAAATAAAGGAATGCACAAACAGCAAGGGTGTTGTCAAATACGGAACTCCGGTCACCCTGAACGAGGAATATACGGTGGATTTGGTAGTGGTCGGCAGCACCGCTGTTTGCCCCCGAACGGGAGCCCGAGTTGGGAAAGGTGAGGGATTCGCCGAGCTAGAGTGGGGAATTCTGTCTGCCCAGGGAAATCTAGAAGCCAAAACATGCCTGGTGGTGACAACYGTGCACGACTGTCAGGTCATCGAAGATGAGAACGACATGCCTGAGGGTTGGGCGCTAACTAAGCACGACGTACCCGTCGACATAATTGTTACCCCCACGAGGGTCATACATGTTTTCGACCGAGCCCCAAAACCCTCTGGGATCTTGTGGGACCTCTTATCTCCCCAAAAATTGGCGGCCATCCGTGTACTTCGGCAGCTGAAACAAGAGACGGAGGATAAGCTAGGAGTAACTTTGCCGTCGGGACCGGACGAGTTGCTTCCGCCGGTTGCGTCTCGAAACAACAAAAATCGCAAGAAGAAAAACAATAGAAGGCGAAAACCACGGCAACAGCAGCGCAAAGGTTCGGAAACACCMCCCGCGAAGAAGTAATACCGTGCAAACTCGGTGTAAGACAAATACTGGCAACAGACTCTGAACCAACCGACTATCCAAGGAGTTATAACCCTGAAYTACGCCTAAGCTATCGACAAGAACATTATGTAGTATACATTCGACTCTTCGGATCATTGAAACACTTGTCCAAAGATAATTGAGTCCCGTAAATCACACAACTTTATCCGTAACCGTGGTTTTACATTCTCTATCTCGGTCCTGTAATGCGTACTATTGTGTTCGTGATGGGCACTGCCAGTAGCTTATGCTTCATGCTCCCATGAAACGCTTCATATTTCAATGATAGTCAAAGTGATGGATATCAGATTCAGTCAATTAATCAAAATGAAAATTACAGCCTCCTATAAACTGTGACTGGCTGATGCACAGTGCATATTATCGAATATGAAACAGTCGAATGGTATTCGAAACCTTATTTCGCCCACGTAAACCCATAGCAGTAGAAAGCATGCATTCGATCCCCYAATTTTTTCCACTTATTKTTGCATGAACTCTGCGCAAGAAGTGTGCGATGAGRTTTCGGTTGCAAACTTTGGTGGCTCCCTTTCTACGAATCGAATCGGATCAGATCAGATCGGGTCGGATCAATCCTTCAGTGTTTCCCTGTCCTGTGCCGCCTCCTTTGCCTTTTGTCGATCTTCCTCCGACCCACCAACGACGTGCTCTTGGAACCATTCATCGCTGCTCCAAATGGCTTGGCCCTTACCACCACCCATCGATGACATCAATTTGTTTAGCTGGTTTTGCTGAGCCAGGCTGACCTTAATGGTTCGTCCGCACAAGTCGCTCATATCCATATTGAAGATGCATTCGCTTGCTTATAAAGTAGCATTTGTGAACATAGATGATTTTGCGATTGAATGTTTGCATCGTGTGTTGTTCACCATACGATTGACCCATGCGTATTTTTGGTYGAGTTTGAGAGTCAACGTCGTAAATTGTAGCATAGTTTACATGTGGAGTAGGCCACCACAGTATCGGTGCCAAAAGAGTCAAAGGATAAAAATGACGACGAAAGATGGACCTGTTAGTTTGTCTCTTAAATGGAACACATGGATCCAACAAACCAGCCAGCGAAGTACCCAGCATAATCATTCTCAATGAAACCATCCGACTTGGTCCAATTAATTCCAATATTAATTTCGATCAAATGATCACAAAAATAGCATATGGTCGCGTAATTATTGGAATCCATGGATACGTACCGTCCTCTGGATCATCAAATTCAACGAAAGCAAAACCTCTTGTCTTGCCAATCTTGTAGTCCATCGGAATATCGAGAGACTTTATGGTTCCAAAAGGAATCATGGCTGAGCGCAAAATCTGTGGTGTTACGTCCTCCCCCAAGCCCCCAACATAAACAGCTCGCTTAGATGTGACAATGATACCGGCGTCACCGCTTGTGTTGCTGCTGGATTCCATACTCATTACGTTTCGTGCGGAAAACTCTCTGTTTGGATTCGAATTGATTTCTTCTGTGGCGGAACTAGCTTGAGGATAATATAGCCGTTCTGCAATCTCGGCCTTGGCAATCCTTTTCTACAAGCACTTGTCCAGTGGAACAACGTTGAACGTGTTAACACTTTCTGGTCTCTCCTAGAAAGATAATCTTCTTCGCTCTTCGATGTTTACGCTCCTACGACGGAGGTTCATGTACCGGTACGATGCGACGTTTTGTGATRCAATCGCTTTCGACGTGAATGCGGATGGATTCTGTTGCATCGCATGTGAGAAATGCCGGTACCACTATTTCACATCGCAAGAACAAGAAATCAAAATACTACCGGTAGTACAGTACATATTTGAGTTCAAAATGAGACAATTGATTTCCAACAGGTTATGAGTACATGAAACGCGCCAGTTTGTTGCTATCTTTGAATGCTTCTTAATGCTAGCCAAAGCACCAATCAGAATTAAAGAATCCATCAGCTGGAAAGGGTTTTCTCTTGTCTTTCAATACATGTGCATATTGTATATGTTTCTTGCCAGAGAACCTTTTCCGGCTTGTTGATTTCTCTCAGCATTGAAATTTTTAAAAAACTCATTTAATTACTAACCACAACAAACCACCAAGCTGTCACTCCTCCAGATCTTAATCAATACCCAACCAATTGTGCTCACAAGACAAGCGCTCTAATCCTTACAATAACAGCAAAAGGATCTGGAAGTTGTGGATCAATCAACTGAGTGCTTCAGACAAAGCAACAGGAGATCTAAGCAACAGTGAAAATCGTTGTGAAAATAGCAAGAAAAGAAGCTGCAGTGCAACCAGCAAAACAAAGATATCACTGGTTTCTTCCAAATCAAACAAGCATCACACCCAATTCATTATCAACAGGAAGGGGATCCAGTCAGAAGTTGCGGATCAATCAGCCAAGTAGTTGAAAAAAAGTAGTTTTTGCTCTATTTTGGATCATAAGCAACAGCAACAACAACAACANACAACAACAACAACAACAACAACAACAACAACAACAACAACAACAACAACAACAACAACAACAACAACAACAACAACAACAACAACAACAACAACCTCACCCCAGGGCCTCCTCCAAGACAGCCTGCCATACTCCCAGCACTATCGATCCAGTCAGCTAGCAAGAGATGCATGACAATGCATGCTGAAACATTAGCTGCTGGGACAGCTGGAGTATCTTTTGCAGTTGCAGTTGGCAAAAAAGAAAAATCAGCAGCAGCAACAACAACAACAACAACAATGAAGAAGTCCTATTTGCCAGCAGCAGTAATGGAGACAGTTGCAGTTGGATCAGTAAAAACAGGATGCAAGGTCATGGCATGTGAAAGAACAATCCTTGCTGCTGAGAACTTGTTTGGTTCAAGGTCCAGAGGCTTCCAGTGTTCTGTGAGACAAGCAATGTTATTTGCTCATTTTAGTGACAAACAAGAAGCCAGCAACAAGGCCTTGCAAAGAAGAGTACAAAGGTGTATGGAAAGGATGGTTAAGGGATCTCTGGGCCCTCCTGGATCTTAATTATGGTTATCTCAAAACCCTTCACCAAAAAAATCTGGAAAAACTTGCACACCACAGAGGCATGAAAAATGATAATATTCTGCAGTCAGATTATCTGCTTTTAGTAGTTTTTGGTAAGCCTGATGGCTGGAATGAGAACATGGCTTTGGATTTTGCTTTTGATGAGGCTTTTTCAATAGACCAATGCAAAGACGCATGGGGAACCATTGGAATTGCACCATTCACACGCAAATGCCTACAGGACAAAGAAGTGCAACAAGAACTGATCCTTTTGCCAGATGACTCCATCGATCTAGCAAACCGATCCCCCCATAGCTGCACTGGTAGCACATGAGAAAAAGAATTCTGCAGCAATTAAAGTATTGAACCATGATGGTTTTAACGGGGAAGTATTTCTCAAATATGCACATAAAAGAGTACTAAGCAGTTGGTAGAACAAGTGACCAAACCAAATATAAGGGCTCAGCAAGATGCAATTGCAGGCATTGAATATTCTAGCCAGCACTTCATTGCAGCTGCTGGCAGAGATACACTCAACAAGTAGGACTATTTCATTGCCAAGGAAAGAACCAGAGGTTCAAGGTCCAGAGGCATCATACGATTGAATGAGATTGAACACTTGGAAGCAAAGAAGAAGGCTAGAAAAGCAGCAGAAGCTTTGAGCTGGAAAGCTCTTGGTTTGATTGAGAACTTTTCTTCCAAGGGAAAAGATGTTAAGAAGGAGGAAGATGCTAAGTCCCTCCCAGCTTCTACTCTGAAGGTTTTGTGCCAATCAAAGAATCAAAGAAAGACAAGCTGTTGGAAATCTGGATGCAAGTAAAGAATATTTCCCATGCTCCTCTTGAGGGATGGACTGATACTGATGCTAAAGAAACTGCATGAGGATAAGATAACTACTATCAGGGAGACTGCATATGGAATGGGGAGAGAGAGAGAGAGAGAGAGAGAGAGAGAGAGAGATAGAAAGAGAGAGAGAGAGAGAGAGAGAGAGAGAGAGAGAGAGAGAGAGAGATTGAAGAACCAAGGACTGTCCTTCATAGTAGCAAGCTCGACTGACGAAGAAGAGAGAGTTGCCTCTAATATACCAGTTGATGTGCTAGAGGGAGTGAAAGGTAGTAGGCAATTTATGTTAAGAGAAATCTGTTCTTGGATTTGATTTCAATCTCGATTTTACTATTCCATGTTAACAACAGTGTCCGGAAATCCATTTCATTTGCCAATCTGACTTCTCAATCTCAAAAAGTGCACAAAAAACAGCTTGGAAGTACTCGGAAATAGAAAATCCTTTGGTATAAAATGGTTTCTTTTATTTTTGTGAGAGCTTCCCTGCCCTGCTGGTTGGAATTAAGACTATTGTTCCACACATACTAGAGCACTGTAAAATTGATACTGTTAAAAAGCTGTCACATTGTAATTTGGACCCAAAAGGGTACTGTACGGTACTATGACTGTACAATGTAAGTACTTCTTGTTTTTACCTATGAAGCACGCAGTATGCACTAGTGGTACAAGAAAATGGTGCTTTGTAAAGTACTACAAGGTACTTCCTCCAAATAACAAGGTAGTACAACAAGGCAGGGGTCACGAGAGACAAAAAGTAAGTATTTTCTCTGTTCTTATTGCTGTCTGCAGCAACAGTCAAAACTTTTAGGTGCTGACACAGGGCTGGCTGGTGGTAGTACTAACAGACTACTACTACCTAGTAGTACATACTAGTACTCTATTTGCAGTAGAAATAGTCTATCCTTTGTCCATTCAGTCCCGCCAGTTCCTTAGCAAAATTACAAAGTGTCTGTCCTTCATCTGTTTCTCCCACTAGTAATTCCCCCCCAGCAATAATTTTTAGTACAAATAATCTAGTCAATATTCAAAAGTGAAAAGGTACACTATCATTCCATTTGATACTGAAAATATTGGCATTTTCAGAATCCTCATGAAAAACTGGGCTAGACAGTGTACTCAAAAATTCTAATGGTAGTATTTTTCATAATGTTGTAACTGGTGCTTCAAGGTTGGATAGTTTTACTAGTATTATGCAGTGAAAATGAAATTGAAAAAATCCCTGGGGTTAAAATTTTCTATTTCCTGCCACAGATGGAATGTGAGTTTTTGATGCGTTGCCCACCCCTCTAAATTTATGAYCCCCTGGTACAAGTTCGGTAAAAGTGGGTGCTGGTAATCGTAACCCTACCAGAGTAGCAGCGGTTGGAGGCAGACAATCGAAAACGGCTATTTCCTAGCAAACAAACCAATCACGTTCCTCGTCTAGCCTCGAGCTCCATTGAAAATRTTTACTGTAAATGATGGGTTCCATGGTTAGATGAGACCAATGTGAAAACTAGATTCAGCCCCTTTTCCAACCATTGAACATAGAGTACAACAATTTCATACTGGTGGTACTAATAACACTAGAACAAGAAAGTGCACGGCAGTGATCAGTCTCCCCACCAAACCAAGAGTTCCCTCTCCCGTTTTTGTTCTTCTTTCTCTTTCAATTTATGAAACTATTGCTGCTAGCAAACCCTGACAACCCTTACTTCCACAGCGAAAGTCACAGAGGATTAGGCAACAGTGATTGAATGCCATCAACCATGGCTGGTTCATGAAAAGAAGGTGAACTCAATTGCACTAAGTGAATGTATTGTGGCGTTCATAAAAATTTTGTCTTTCTCCCGAGAGTCARTAGGTTGGAGGCGCGAAAGCAGCTTTTTCTTCAGTGGACACTTTGGCATGGCTTCCGCTCCTCGCCGTTGCATCTTTACCGGGAGAAGTGCGATTCTAGACTACTCATTCTGCTTGTGATGCATCACCATCTGAAAGTGGAACAGGATTTGGTTGGTAGATTGGCTGAATTGTTCGATTCCATTTGATGAGCTACGACGATGCAGCAGTTGTGAAAAAAGTTGACCTCTCCAATTTCATCTCGTTCTAGCTTGATTTCGTTTGCAGTCATCTTTCGTTTCCCTCTTTCAAAAAAAATCGTCCTCGTATTCCTCTGCAGCCGTCGAATCAGCGGTAGCCGCCATCTCTCTASTAGATGTCATCTTGTGGGCGTTGTCGATATGGATGCGATCGTACGACTTGTTGTGCTTTTCGATTTGTTGTGCCTGGTATGCCTTTTTCTTCGCCTTTTGCTCCATTCGATTGTGTTCCTTTTTTTGGCGCTGGATTTCCTTCAGACGGCGCTCCTGACTCTTGCTCAGCATTTCCTCGACTTTATCGAGCTGTTCCGTTCGGGTCTTTTCGAAGCTCTTCACGCGGAAATTGTCCTTTTTTACGCGGATTCTGCGGACGTTGTCGGGGCGGTGGAAACCAACCGTCCCATCCGGCGTCCCGTGAGTCTTCTTCAGGTTTTTCCATCGGGTGTAGACTACGGTCACTTCGCTTTTCTGTTTTGTTTGGAAAATTGATGGGCGGTGGAACGAACAAGGAAACACATAGTTTGAAATGGAAGAAAGAATGGGGGGTACAAGTTAGTCACTGTGAGCAATGCCAATACCGACCCGTGGGAGTCTCCTAAGAAA